TGGCTGTTCGTGCTGATCTTCTGGGGGAGGGGCCTGTTCCCGGGGTTCCCAAATGTCTTTGCCAGAGGCTGAATTGCCCCACGCTTGTCGGTCGGGGCTAAGCAAGCTGCTCGGGTTTGCTCTCAGGAGCTTTTGTTCCCTGTAAGCTCTCGGTACAGCTTTGGAGGACCAAGGTGAAAATGGTGGCCTCCCAATCTCCACTTGGAGGAGCTGAGAACTTGCGGCCCCGCTCCTCAGTGCGCCCCCAGAGAAAAGCAGTCACCGATCTCCCTGGTCTCCGGCCGCACTCTGTCCTCACCCGGCCTGTGACCGAGCATTTCTATCTCTGGCAGGCGACCCCATGTGGAGTCTCCAAACCCAGCAGATCCTTATGGTGCATTCCCACACCGCTCCTCCCGGGGGAGGAAGGGGAGTCTCCCCGGCTCTGCTACTTGTTGGGTCCCTGCTGGAGGAGCAGTAGCCCAACTGGGCCTCGGAGCACAGTTTATGGCAACCCCGAGCTGAGAGCCCGCACCTCGGCTCCGTCTCTGCGGCCGGCTTCCCTACTCTGGTACCTGGGAGCTCTGCTGCACTCAGGCACCCCCAGTCCTTCTCTGACCCCGAGGTTCCTGAGACCACACTGTCCCATGAGGGTTCCACCCCCTGCTTAGCCACTGGAGCGAGGTCCCTCAGCGGAACCAACTTCTAAAAGGTCCGATTTTGTGCTCCACAGCTCTATCACTTGCCAGAAGCGGCCAACGGAGGTCCCCTCCCCCGCCGTCTATCTTCCCAGATATCGCCTCGGATTCACTTCTCCACAAGTCCTACCTTCTAGTAAGTGGTTGCTTCTCTGTTCAGAGAGTTGTTGCTACTCTCCTCTTTGATCTCCTGTTGAGTTCTTTGGTGTTCAGAATAGTTTGATCCCTATTCGCTGAATTCCTGAGACCAGAGGAAATCCAGGTCTCCTACTCCTCCGCCATCTTGCTCCACCCCCTAGATCTTCTATTTTTATGTCCAATCTTCTTACCTTTGTATGACAGCACAACAAATTAGTTCATGCAATTTTGAAAATTACTTCTGTAACTGAAGAGAAAATATCAGGCAAAGAATTGATTAAATTTTTTAGTTTTTAGACACCAGTGAATTATTCAATGGTCCCTGAATATCGAGCCTCAGGATATTTTGTTGGATATTTTTCCCCTGAAGTCTTCCCACTATTATTAGCCCTACCAGCTTCTTTTGTTCTAGATATTTCCACTCACACATGTTTCAAGAAAGATAGCATATACTTAACAACTAGTGAGATATGTATTTTCTGTATTCTATTTCATATGCATGTGAATTATGCTCAAATAAGATTTAACTCAAAATGGCAATATTGAAATACTTGAACATATTTATTTTTCTTATCTTTCTCTTCTCAACCAGTGACTTCAGTTTAATGGAGTCATTAATTTAAGAACATGCATCAGAAAATTATATCCATCTGTAGAATAGAGGATATTGCCTGGAAGACAGAACTCCACCAAAAGGGAATTCTTGCTACAAAGTTGTATCACACCAACACACAAATCACTAAATTCATACACACACACATACACATCTCCTAATAAAAGCACCCAGATCATTTTAATTCCCAGTTGCTCATGCTCTGCAATGTCTGTCATCAAAGCAGGATGAATAACAGCATCGTAACTGAGTTTATGATTCTGGGCCTCACCCAAAAGCCTGAACTGCAGAGAATTCTCTTCATTATCTTTCTTTTCATGTACCTTGTGGCCTTTCTTGGCAATACACTGATTGTCATTGCCATAATCTATAACTCCACCTTGCATACACCCATGTATGTTTTCCTTCTGGCACTGGCTATTGTGGACATCATCTGCACAACAAGCATTATACCAAAGATGCTGGGGACTATGCTAACATCAGGAAGGAGTATTTCCTATGGAAGCTGCATGTCCCAGCTCTTCTTCTTCACGTGGTCCCTGGGGGCTGAGATGGTTCTCTTCACCACAATGGCCTATGACCGCTATGTGGCCATCTGTTTCCCTCTTCGCTACAGAAGTATTATGAACGACCATATGTGTTTGGCCTTGCTTAGCATTACCATGGCGATTGCAGTAACCAATTCCTGGGTTCACACTGGTCTCATCCTGAGGCTGACCTTCTGTGGGCCAAACACCATTGACCACTTCTTCTGTGAGATACCTCCACTGTTGTCCTTGTCCTGCAGCCCTGTTAGAATCAATGAGGTGATGGTATATGTTGCTGATATTACCCTGGCCATAGGTGACTTCACACTCACCTGCATCTCCTATGGTTTTATCATTGCTGCCATTCTCCGCATCCGCACAGCAGAAGGCAAGAGGAAGGCTTTCTCAACATGCTCATCCCATCTCATAGTCGTGTCCCTTTACTACTCCCCTGTAATCTACACCTATATCCGCCCTGCTTCCAGCTACTCATTTGAAAGGGACAAGGTGATAGCTGCACTCTATACTCTAGTGACCCCAATATTAAACCCGGTTGTGTATAGTTTCCGAAACAAGGAGTTGAAGACAGGGATTCAGAAAGTCTTCACATTTCTGAAACCTTAGTGTTTTCAAAAGGGAATGTCAGCTCTGTACTCCAGAATCATCTCTTAAAACATCTCAGATTTTACTGATCATTTATAGATATTTCCTTCCCAAATTTCCATATTCCTTCTTAAGAGCAACAATGTTTCATTCCACTATGAATAACTGTCTTAGCTCCTGATTTCTAAAATGCACTTACTTTCTTACCATTTCACTACTGATTTATAATTATCACTTCACATATTTTTAAAATACTTTCATGAAAACTTTCACAACTAATCACAGTAAATACTTTTTCATTCCTATTCCCCAGCTTTCTCATTGTCTCCACAATTTTATATTTTTAATTTTAATAATGTCTGTAATGTAATATATATACCACCTCACATAAATAAATATCATGATATATACATCTTTCTAAAAATATATACATTTTTCCCTTTCTTATATATGCATATACATAAACATTTGCCTGTAAGCACACATAAATATTAAATATATTAATATATTCACTAAGAAATATTACTTCTAATACTATTAAATTAATCAGTCTGTGAATCAAATCATGTCTCTAATTTCTGTAACAAGAAAATACATTGCATTACTTTGAGACTTATTTGTGATGCAAACAGTACAATATTCCCTTGAAATCAGTTATAATTAGTGTTCCACTGCAACATTTTAAAATATTTTAAAAATATTTTGTCATTCTAATCTTCCTGAAACAATCTAGGTAATGTCACTCTTGCCTGTTTTAGAATTTACTTCATGAAAACAATAACCATATATTATTGTTGGCATTTTTATGTAGCATGTAATGAGGAATTCTAAATAAATTAATACCTAACAAACAAGAACAGAAAGATTCCTCTAATACCTTCTAGTTGAAGACCATTTTGAGCTAACATGTGAGCAAGATGGATTTATTGCATGAGGAGACAGAACATCATGGGTTAGTAAGAGGATGTTAGAAAGGACTTATTTGGGATTTTTGGGGGGTACTTGATGAAAAATCACACAAATATGATTTTCTCTAGATTGGGTCAGAAAATGAGAGAAATTTATTTAGGAGGTATATAGAATAAACATTGTTAAGCTGTGATTGTTAAATAAGTAGCAATAGATCATATTAACTAGAAGAAGAAGAAGAAGATACCTATCATTTCTGAGGTTTGGACTGTATTCTTATTTTCATCTGTGCTCAGATATGTCAATGCAGTGGACTTGTTTCTATCTTGCTCTATCATAGTGACATTTTCTGATGCTGATGTTCTGTGTGTGTCTGTGTGTTTCATGATAATTAGCAGGACATCATGGCCTACCTGTTTAGCTAGACAAGCTGGGTATACATTAGTCAGAGGCTGTTTTTTTTTCTTTCTTTCTTTCTCATTTCTTTAAAATTAAGCTCATAGATAACTGTATTTATTATTTTATCTTATTAAAGAGAGCCACATGTAAGCCAAATGCACAAATTAATTCCTTTAGAAAGACAAATATAAAACAATTGCTTGAGAGTGTTCCTTTTTATGAAATTAGGTGGTGATAAGCATGTTTTGAAAAAAAGTTAGACAGTCATTTGAAACATTCAAATGTATTTTCATTCTGAATTTTTATTTTAACTGGAAAATTTTAAAAAGGAAACTAATTCTGGACTCCTTCCTCTCAGAACTTGTTGTACTGTTGCTCCTATATTATTCTTGTTTATTATTATATTGTGCATTGCATTTTATAATATGCATATAAAGGAATACCACAGCAGTATATTTTGGACTGTCTTGCATGAATTCTAACTCACCCACTATACTGGCATGTACAACTCTTACAAAATAGATGAGATTTAACTCTGTGTATAGCTAAACATCTAGAGTATTTATGTGTTTGTTATTCAAAGGAGAGCATAGACTATGTGAAGTTGAAATTGTATTTTCCCCATATGTCTTGTACAGAACCTTGTACCTCTTAGCATTGCAAACATCCATCTTAAATTATAAGCCTATTGAGCATTTTTTATTTTAAATGAGACAAGAGTGGTTTCAGTATTTTGTGCCATTTTTGTGTTGAAATGGGATTGTGGGATGGGGAGAATTGGGGTATACACTGGATTTCCCCTTCATTGTATTTAGTACTTGATATAGCGTATGATGAATATTCCACAATGATTTGGTCTAGTTCCATTTGAACGCTGTGTTTATGAGACAGGCATTCTGAGTTTGGACCTCATGTAGATTATATTAGATTTCATTGGAGAAATATCCTATTCTACTGCACACAAGTGTAGGGAAAAGCCTTGCTAAGTTTCTAATATGTTCAGCTACAGATAATACAGAATACTACTTTTATCCTTTTAAACCAGTAAATGGACTTATGCCTCATGCAATGGAAGTTTGGTGTGCAACAGTCAATAGTAACTATATCCACTCAAGGATACCAGCAAAGAACTGGTATCCTTCAAGGTTTTTGTTGTTGTTGTTTGTTTGTTTTTGTTTTTGTTTTCATTCTCTTGTCCTGCTTTACTTTGCTTTCCCTAGGGTCATTAATGGCTTCTGTATTCCTAGGCATCTGAATCATGACCCAGGCAGAATCAAGGCTAAGGGTGGAGATGGCAAAGGGCATGAGGATTTTCACCTATTATTTTAAACCCTTGTTTCAGCTTTATTGAGGTATAATTAATAAATAAACTTGTAAGATATGCACAGTGTATCTCATGATTTTGTAAAATAAGAATCACTCAATAATCATGCACTTACATCACACTGGCCATACCTATATCACTGCACCATCTCAAACTGTAAACACTGACTAGAGGAGCAAATATGGAGACTAAGCACTTGGTATCCCTGAACAGATTTGTAGTTAACATACATGGGGAAAGGAAAGAGGTATTCATATTATTCCAATTACTAGTAGTATCTATTGACAAATATAACCACAGATTTGGTGTGGTTTAATGGTGTGTAAAATTTCATTGAGAAAGGGAGAGTACCAAGGCTGAGACCACAATAATACCAGATGCAAAATGCCACTTGGAGCAGTTTGGCTTAAAAATCATATTAAAAATTATATATTTAAAAATTTTGACCACCATTAATATTTATTTTATATTTATATAATGTATAAATATAAATACCAATAAAATTCTCCCTCTCCCCTGCCCCCGCTGTGTTCCCTCTCTCAATGTCTCTCTCTCTGTCAAATAAAGAAATAAAATCTTTAAAAAAATAAAATTAAAATAAAATGTTTTGATGAACACTGGAAGATCTTAGGGAACAAACTCATTAAAACTAGTAAAAGAAAAAAATAGTATTTTTCACTTCCTATATAATCTGTATATCAAAAAGTTAAGGTTTCCAAATAATTGACTTATGTATGGTTAGTGCGTTGTCTTCAAGAAGGATTTCAGCTAACAAATGAAGAAGACACAATATCAATAACGTCACTTTGCATACTCTAATGACTGCATAAATCTAGGAGATGATCTTTTATTTTTTTTTAAAGATTTTATTTATTTATTCGAGAGAGAGAGAATGAGAGATAGAGAGCACGAGAGGGAAGAGTGTCAGAGGGAGAAGCAGACTCCCTGCCGAGCAGGGAGCCCGATGCGGGACTCGATCCCGGGACTCCAGGATCACGACCTGAGCCGAAGGCAGTCGCTTAACCAACTGAGCCACCCAGGCGCCCTAGGAGATGATCTTTTAAAGTTTGCTAAAATTTTCAAAATAGAGAGAACCACATATGTAGATCATCTTGTCAAAAAATGACAATATCATCAAACTTTTATATCTAACAATAAATTAATGGTAATTACAGGGTTTAGAGGAAGATGACATGAATATACATCCATCAAAATCGAGACTACAAGAATCTCTTCATTATGAACTCTTCACTTTCTTCAACAATAATAAAATGGTAAAATTAAAAATAAATACATAAAAAGATAAAGGCAAACCAATAGAACAAATGTATTTAGGGCAGTTATCAATCAATTGCAAAGTATCTCTTTTTTATATCCTAATTCAGGCAAACACAATTTATAACTTAGAAGTCAATTATAAAAATATCAACTCGAGGACACTGTGAAGATGGCAGAGTAGGATGAACCTAAGCTCGCCTTCTCCCACTGACACAACTAGATAGCACAGTGTAAATAACCCAGAAAAGGTTCTGAGGACTGGCAGAACAATTTCCAGAGCTAAAGGTAGAGAAGAAGACACATTAAAGAGGGCAGGGAAGGTGGATACATGGTGGAGACTTAAAAGGGTCCTGGCCAACTGTGGTGGAGAATTCAGGGGCACGGAGAGTGGAGAAAAACAGACTATCAGACCAGGGAGCCAACATGGGGAAGACAAATTTCCATCATATTTGGCTTTGAAAGTGAGAGGGTCCAAATTTCCTGGATTCTTCCAACCAGCATGGCTTAAAGGCTGGAATGTTCAATATCAATGGACTTGGCTTTCTTCCAAAAGCCCAGAGGGCATTAGGAACCTGAGTCTCTACCCTTAAGAAGGCAGCACACACACACACACAAAAACAGCCCTTGGAAACAGCATAGAAATAGCCTTTGAAAAACGCCTGAGGCATACGAGAGGGAGAGTTACTTATTCATTTTGGAATCGGATTTGGAGTGCATCCCAGAGAGGAAGGGATCACAGGAAGACTCCCTCCAGGAACAAAAGAGCTGGCAGTGGCCATTTTTTTCCACTGTCCCTCAGCATAAACACAGGGCCACCTACAGGAACAAGTGTTGTTATGATATTCCCTAACTAACTTTCTTACACCAAGCCCTGCCCTGCTCCGCCCATTCACTGGATCTGCCTTTTCTAGCAATGCTTGCCTCAATCCCAGCACTGTGGGTCCCCTCCCCCAAGAAGACCTGTGAAAACTTTGCAAAACAATGTCTCCCAACCCAAGTTTTTTGAGAAGCTTTGATCCTGGTCTTTGGTCACCACTCAGGGAAAATGAGTGCATCTTGTTAAAACTGCACTACTCACGCGAGGTTTGCTGAACAGTCACAGCCACCCTGGTGCTTACAGTATCTGTAAGTCCCTTATGGAAGAAGACCAACACATAAGGATTAAGGGCACCATGGCCCCACACATGGGCACTTTATGAAGCAGGCCCAG